GCAGGATTGTAACAACCACGACCATGATTATAACAACCACGAGTCTGATTATAACAACCACGACCATGATTATAACAACCGACCATGATTATAACAACCACGACGCGATTATAACAACCACGACCATGATTATAACAACCACGACCATGATTATAACAACCACGACCACAGTTATAACAACCACGACCATGATTATAACAACCACGACCATGATTATAACAACCACGACCATGATTATAACAACCACGACCATGATTATAACAACCACGACCATGATTATAACAACCACGACCATGATTATAACAACCACGACCATGATTATAACAACCACGACCATCTATCTCATATACTATAGGAATAGCCATGTGTTTGTGTGTGTGTGTCTGTTCTGGGCAGCCGAAACAGCAGAATCGTTTTTCATCAAACCTGGTGGGAAAAATCGCAAAAAAATTCGTAGAGTGGAACAAATCTGGTCCCATGTCGATGGTTTCTTTAGGAAGGCATTAATTAACTATTTTATTTACGCTGGAAAACGATGTCGCTGTACCCTGTCAGAAGGACGGCGGTTACGCTCTAGCCAAGCACGAGCGTTCGAACTTTCATGCTTTGGTAAACTGTACCACCGGACTCGCCACCTGGCAGGAAGGGCCCACGATCACTTGTAATAGCTATTCCACCAACAGCCAAGATACATTTAAAGACTATACTAACTTTATTTACACTCTCTAGTAAGACATATCCTGTATAAATTTCTCCTATATATATATATTCCTAATATAACTGGAATATAATAACTCAACCATCAAACGCCTAGTATAAAATTTTCACTAAATTTGTCCGTCCTCTTAAACAAGACATGGAAAGGGAGTATATTATCAGAAAAGCAATTCTATTCATTACGGATGGTTCAGCAGTGTTGATGAGAAGTAACTTTACTGAGGAGAAGAGCGTAAGTGAGCAACCTTCTCCCACAGCAGGGTGAGGAAAGCTACAATATAGCCCAGGAAGAGCACGTAGAATGCGCCCTGCAGGTGGTTCAGTCCCAGCACAACTTCTCTGGATTCATCCTGGTGAATTTATATTTGCAAGACCAAAAAAATATCTTAGTATTACCATTTAACAAAAATTTGCTCAAATTCCTATATAACTGAAGACCTGGAACGCTAATGTGGCTTTAAAAACTCATGCACTGTAAAACAAGTGTTAATTAAGAATTCGCCCAACAATGCAGGCGGCTGCATTTACGAGGATACTTGCAAGGAATGTAATATGTTTTACTTAGGCCAGACGGGTAAAGATCTTATCACTAGACTTAAGCAACATAAATATAGTGTTAGGACAGGCCAGGAATCCAATGCTCTGTTCATTCATATGAGAGATAATAAGCATTGCATTGACTGGGATAATGCCTCCTCAATATTACCTCATTAAACATACCGAATCTATCAACATGAATTTGAGTAATGGTATGTACAAACTGGATAATTTTGTAATTAAGGAGATTTCTAACCATATGAGAAGGTTGGGTCATCTTACCCTGTGACCTGACTACGGACAACTGCTGTGCTTAGAGTTGGCATGGTAATTTATTTATTTTTTATTAAGAAGATTAGTAAGGGTCACTGCTTTATGACTGGAACATTGTGGACACCTGCTGTCTCCTAGGGACTTGATCTCACTCTCTACTGTATATATTAGCCTTGCCAAGTATTTCTCCTTACTCTGTACTCACCCCTGAAGATGTGAATTACACGAAAGCTCTTGTGGGAACTTCGTGTTTTCTTCTTTCCTTGTGGTTATCAGCATATATATATATATATCTTGATAAAATCACACGGGAAAAATGGAAGCAACGGAGTACTCTTAGCTATACATATATATATATATATATATATATATATATATATATATATATATATATATATATATATATATATATATATATATATATATATATATATATATATATATATATATATATATATATATATATATATATATATATATATATATATATATAGCCTCGATCTCACTTGTTAAAACTAAGCCTATTGTCCAATAAAACTTTTATTATGACTCAAGACTGATATGCTCGAAACGCATCATGTGTCTATTGTCCTACATTACTGAGTAGTTGCCTAATGGCCCTTGCATCAATATTAATGATGAAGCCAAATTCCCTCTGCTGAACGTTTTCTCAGATATTAGAAAAATTCACATTTCTTCCAGATGTCATGAAGGTGCTTTTCATGGCTCTTTAGAAAAATTCGCCTCTTTTTGGCACTAAGAAGTCCAGCCCAGAAACCAAAATTGTGTCCTCATTATGCTGATATACAGCAGCGTCTCATAGAATGCAACTTCCTGATCTACAGCTATAGACATGTTATAACCAATATACGATTGGTTGACAACCCATAGAAACACATTTATAAGTCCAGATATAAAAGAGCGTACTTTACCTGAGTTGTGTCTCCTTGGGGTGCCTGCGAGTCTAGTGCTGTAGTTGCCCGATTCTCTCTCACGCGTCTGGCTATCACGTTGTCAGTCCAATAGCTCGTGAGCCCAGCAGCTTCCAACCGCAACATTAACTTGCTAAAGCGAGGGTAGAATGGTGCGCCTTTCCTGAATTATAAATAGGTAATTTATATTAACAATGGGGCAAATGTTTGTAGTTATGTTGACTTTATTATCCATATGTATTTTTATATGATCAGAATCCCGGTATGGTCAGTTTACATTTCTGAAGCTAAAATTAAAGTGAAACTCATAAGTGGTAGAAAGATCACACAAACAAATACAACAAACGTTAGTGTCAACATTTTCCTTGCTGTAAACATTGATCCATAACTCACAACTGAAAGAATGGAATATGACAACTACAGGAAATTTGTCAGTGAACCAGGAGGTGATCAAAGTGAGATTATGAGCTTCGAGGTTGCAACCGCCATTCTGTACTCACCTGAAGCCCCAGCCTAGGTTAGCCAATACAGAGATGCCTTTATTACTGATGAAGAAGGGGGTCTGGCCTCGAGCGTCTGTGTAGCGAGAAGCGACGATGACACTGATGTAGTTCTTAAACACAATTAAAGAGTAACCCCCGTCCAACACCTTCTGCAGTGCCTTCTCCGAGTCAAGAATCTAAGGCAAAAATATATAAAAAATGTACATAAAAGCAGCGTTTTCATTATGTTTTATATGTATTAGAATCAAAAGAAAGGTTTTCAACAGTTTGGGTGAGTTATGTAACTGACGGACCCACTCACTCACACTTAGCGAAATGCCTTTAGTGTGATAATTGCTGCAACGATGTGTGTAACATCTTCCAACAACAGTAACAGTATGTACGACCAACGGGCAATAAATTTGCAAACTGAGTATATAATAGAAACGAAGAACCACTAATACGATCTAATTTTTCGTTGTAATTTATCCAGGAATTCAGTAAGCTTACTTCACTTGTTCTTCAACTCAATATGCTAGTCTTATAGAAGTCTTCCGCCTGTTCCTCTAGTAACACCTCTGCAGTCTCGTCATATGAAAGCCTCACCCTTGCTGGAGGTACAATGCTTAAGATTTCAAAACATGATTTGTGGACTGGTGTATTGTCTTATATCAGGCGCACAGCTCTAGTCGGCCCCCAATTTTTTTCTTCCTGTGGACGTCGTTTAGTTTTCCTTTTCGATCATCGTAACAACAATTGTTCGTCGGTATTTTATGCGGCAAGTAGTCGATCAACAGAGCCCCTTTGGTACCCCAGAAAATCAAATCATATTCTTGGCGATACAAGGTTGGTTTCTGAAGTGTTTAAAGGTCAGGGGACTCGAAAATCGCTCCTACATACATTCCATATGGAGTCGTATATTCATAAGAGTAGATACTTCTTACTTAATTTACAGTAGCTATTATCTATTATATAAAGTGACTAAAAGTACCTGCTTAAAGACCCTAAATGCATGTAACACAGTAATTCCTATAAACATCAACAAATATATTTAACACACTGTTACTATACATTTACTGTACATCTCATTTCTTCTATTCGAGAAAAAATTTTAATTGTCAACTCATAGTTCTGTATATGTATAAATTCATTGCACTAGGGTAGGCTATTTTTCATCATTCAAACATGAAAAACAGTCAGACAAACAATGAAATAACATGTTCTCCCTTTAACGTTTATTTTTTTGTATCACATTACCTGATTCATACATTAAGACATTCCATTAGTTCTTCAAAATAATTAAGTCTCAATCTGAGTTCATGTTCATTAGAAATAAATATGTCTGATATTCTGTATGTGTGTGTGTGTGTGTGTGTGTGTGTGTGTGTGTGTGTGTGTGTGTGAGTGGGGTGTATGTGTGTGGAGCCCCACATCAGGCAGACATGCTTAGAGAGCCCCAGTAAGACCCCAACCGCGGTATAGGCGGAAGAGGTGACCACCATGGGAACCCAACGACTACACTGGCGGATGAACAGCCTACAAAGGCGAAACCCAACAAACTGGGCTATCGGCAGTCCATTGCAACTCACCTTTTCCCCAGCCGTCGCAACTACTTGCACCACTGGATCAGGAAAAGGGAGAGCCAAGGTGTGTGGTTACAGTCTGCGTTCCCGCCTCACTACATAAATAAACTCGGCCGCTTTCATCACTGAACTTGAGTATGCAAACAACCTCACCCTCGTTGCTCACATTAAACGCGACCTATAGATCCTGAACTCCTACGCAGATGCGTATGCACACTTCGGCCTTCAGGTGAATGTACGTAAGACTCAGATTCTCTTTCAGCTTGTCCCTCGTTCAGCCACATCACCATTCATTCATCCAGGTCAACGGTACTACTGTCTCGAATGCTACGTACTTTCAGTATCTAGGCTCCCTCCTGTCCACCGTCCGTTTCTTAAGCTGCAGGGAACTATAATTATCTACAAAGCTGCACGTATATCAACCGGTGATCCTCCCCACCATACTGTATGGCGGCACAACAGGCATCACATACAGGTGGCGCCTCAAGGCACTTGAAAACTTTTATCACCGTTTTTTAAATTCCAACCTCCGAGTTCACTGGGGAGACGAGAGAACAAAGGTCAGTATTATCGCTGACACCAAATGTAGGAGCATCGAGGCTACCATTATCAATAAACAACTACTGTTGTCCATGTTGGTTCCAGTAAACAGCATGGACGACAGTAGACTGCCAAAACAGCTGCTTCACTGTCACCTAACGCTGGCGGGCAAAGGAAAAGGTATAAGGATAATCTTAAGACAAAACTGAAATAGTGCTAATCGACCCCCTCACCTGGGAGACGATCACTCCACACCGTAATGCTTGGAGGATCACCACAAGAGGGTGTCAATACTGTTATGCTGAGACATAATTTAGTATTATAATTTTTTTGAACTAGGTGTTCTGATTATTTTCTATTCCAAGCAGCAGTTATTTTGACAGGTATTGGGAGATTTTTCTTGTATATATTGGTGTATTACCTGTGTAAGAATTTTTTAGAGTGTATTGAGTCTTTTTTGTTATGATTTACTCACGTAATGTAAGTCTATACCATTATAGAACTCTCCAGGCGTGTCTCGTTACGACCTGCAACGCCTGGATGTCGCTAGAATACTCTAGGCGTCTGACGAGACATGCACAGTAAACAACTCACGAGCTGCCGAGAGGTGGAGGTGCCTGTTTCTGTTTAGAGTGTGAAGTACAAGCCTGGTGACAGCTGAAGTTAATTGGCGATATTAAGTGAAAAGACTGAGGAATTGTTCACTGGTACTGTGATGACGGTATATATATTCGAAGTGAAAAACCCATTTGTGAAGACATACCACCTGAGCAGATTTGTGAAGATCTAGTGATTATTAAAGAGAGCTGCAGTTCACAGGTGTGTTTCTGTGACCTGGTGGAAATCTACCTGCCTTCCTGCCTGTTGATTGCCAGTGGTAATTCGAAGACACTTGCGTTATATCTACTTCTGTATATACGACCTGACCGCTGGTAACCAGCGGTGGAAGCAGAGGAAGTGGCGAAAAGGGGTTCGTAACAATACTTTCGAATTAGTCCGACTGATTCCGGAGCAAAAAAGCACCAGCACCGGGAAGATGCTGCCGCCACCCCTCCTGCACTAGATGTAGCCCTCCACATGCACAACATCTGTAGATGGCCACCAACGAAGGTGATATCTTTAATATTATTGATTCATAGTTGAATAATCGTCATACTTGATTCCGAGTAACAGCATAGTAGTAGCAGTAAAAGTAGCAGTATTAGTAGTAGTAGGGAGCAGATACAGGAGGCCACAGTGGATATCGCCGGGACCCAACCGCCCGATGATATCCTTAATGATAGCAATGTGTCTACTCAACCAGAAAATGTAGTACCAATAAACGTTGCTCCAATAGTAGCTGATATCCACGAGGTGAATGAGAGACAGCCACCACAGTGGAATGGCATGACAATGGAAAATGCGGACATAAGGGTTAAATATACTTACTCAGAATTTTTCAGGTGGTCGCCAGCTAACCTGTTTGAACCACTCAAGTGTGCGTCTACCAAAGAAATGATTCGGGAAATGATTCGCCTCATAACCGAGTATACTCAGGACTGCTTCCTTGCCCCTTTAGCTCTTCAAATACTGGCAATAATATCACATCTATTCTGTCAGAGGACACACACAAAGACTAAGCACAAAGAAAGAGAAGATTGACAATGTGGCAGAATGGGGCCATTGATGATCTCCTATGTGAAGCAAGAACACTGCAGGAGAGACCAAAATTTATAGGAGACGGAAAGCAAAACACCGATGACGTTGGAAGAAAGTTTGGAAACAAAATGCGTTTGGGAAAAGTGTCTTTGGCGGTAAGATCTCTCACAGAGGAATCCTCCGGTGGGGTTCTGCTAATGAACAGAGATACATTAAAACAACTGAAGGAAAAACATCCCCTGCAAGTGAAGGCGAGGGCATCTGGTTCCAGGGTGACTATATCCCACCAAATACTGTCATGTTCGAGAAAATAACAGGAGGGATGGTGTGGAAAAAGGCACTGAAAACTGAGGGAGGGGCTGGCCCTCCAGGTCTGGATGCAAACGGTTGGAGAGTCATCCTCAGCACTAACAATTTTGGCCCCGTAGCAAGTGATCTTTGCACTGCCATTGCCGCCCTTGCAAGAAAGCTAGCAACCTCGTGCTGCCAACACCCCCATGCTCTGACGGCCTGCCGCCTCATTCCCCTGGATAAGAATCCACGATGTAGGCCTATAGGGGTGGGGAAAGTGCATCGGAAAATGCATAATGGAGGTGGTAAAGGAACCTGCAAGTTTGTGCTGGCCACTAGGCTGGAGGGGAAGCTGCCATTCACGCCATGAGAACGATATTAGAGCATCGTGATTGTGAGGCCGTTCTCCTTGTGGACTCTTCTAACGCATTCAACATACTAAACCACAAGGCCGCACTACGCAACATCAAGATCAAGTGTCCAAGCTTTGCAATGTATGTTGAAAACACCTATAGGAATCCGCCAGACCTCTATATGGTAAACAACAAGGCTCTAAGAGGTGATAGCATCATACAGTCAGCTGAGGGAACAACGCAGCGGAACCCTGTTGCAATAGCAATGTACGCAATAGGCCTATTTGTGCTCCAACACACAATAAAATTTGAAACAACCGAGGTCAAACAAGTGGTGTATGCTGACGGCCTTACAGGAGCAGGAAAAGTGGAGGACATAAAAAAATGGTGGGACTCGGTAACATCACAAGGTCCACAAATAGGGTACCACCCAAACGCCAGCAAATCCTTCCTCATTGTGAAACCAGAACATTATGAATGGGCAATGAAGGTGTTCTGTGGAAGTGAGGTTAAAATAACAAAGGATGGCCAAAGACACCTAAGCGCAGTAATCGGCACGACGGACTTCAAAACCGATTTCGTAACGGGAAAGGTGAGTGAGTGGATTAGAGAAATCCAAGCTCTGTCTGAGATTGCTAACACAGAGCTACATGTGGCTTTTCCGGCATTCACCCATGGAGTCAAGCATTGCTGGAACTACCTAATGCGCACTATCCCTGATATCGGACCCCACCTTCACTTAAACCCAGCAGAAAGATCACTCCTTGCACTACCACCGAGACTTGGGGGAATGGGATTGACCAATCCAGAGGAGATTGCTGCCACCGAACATCAAAACTCAGTTAAACTCACGGCAGCTCTCACTGACCACATAATAGCTCAGAACGCAACAGGTGAGGTGGATACCAGCGAAGTAAACAAGATTCGAAGGTCCATTACGACAGAACGACAGCACGGCCAAAGTGATATGCTGCACAACTGATGCTGCAAGTACCAGAGAATTTGAAGAAAAGAACGTAGCTCTAGAGGAGGAGGTGGGCGCCTCAAACTGGTTAACTACGTTACCAATAAGGGCAAATGGTTTCAGTCTCAATAAACAAGAATTTACAGATGCCATTGCTCTAAGGTACGGTAGGCCAGTAGAAGGTTTGCCCTCCCAATGCGTGTGTGGCTCTTCCTATGACGTCGTTCAGACCATGGTGTGCAAGAAAGGGGGCTTCATATGCATGAGGCATGAAGAAGTAAGGGATTTCACAGCAAATATGTTGAAGGAAATCTGTAGTGATGTCAGGGTAGAATTTCCAACATAGGACTTCAAACACATCCAACAAAGCCTGTGTTGACGTCAGTGCTCGAGGAGTCTGGACGCAGGGACAGCGAGCCTTCTTCGACATCTGGATTTTTTATCCCATGGCTGCATGTCACCATAGCTTAGCTCTCGATGCTGTATACAAAAGGAACGAGAACGACAAGATAAGGGCATATGGGGAGATAATTCAGAATGTTGATCAAGGCAGTTTCACTCTTCTGGTGTTCACAACCTCTGGTGGGATAGGACCAAGTGCAAGATGCTTCTACGCCAGACTAGCGGAGGTGCTATCCGAACAGAAGCAGCAGCCCAGAAGTTATGTTACAGTTTGGATGAGATGACGACTGTCCTTCTCTCTCCTTTGGTCTGCTTTGCTCTGCCTCAGGAGAACAAGAGCAACGGCCCCAAAGCCGACAACAGTTGCTGATATTGACTATGAGACAACAGTCACTGAATGCCGCATAGATCTGTGGCTCAACTAACTCAACACAGCTAGGATAGCTACTTATGTAATAGGATATTTAATTTTAAGGTAATGAAATGGCGGCGAAGGTGTAGCTATAGGGGGAGGATGGAGGCCAAGTGAAAAAAAAAAGTAGTACTGTGTGTGTGTGTGTGTGTGTGTGTGTGTGTGTGTGTGTGTGTGTGTGTGTGTGTGTATGTGTGTGTGTGTGTGTGTGTGTCCATCTATATACTGTACTAAATTATGTGTTCTTGTCATTTCTCAACATGCCGTAACTTATTATGAGGCGTGTTGTGTTCCTCCCACGATCTAGTAATGAAAGGTGATAAAAGGACAATTTTATTTTACACCGCTTCTTATAAGTTTATACATCAAATTTGCTTTTCATTTATTTATATATTTTGTAGATTACTGTACAGTGCTGACTAACCTCCAGTCCTTGATGTATTTGCTTGACCACTCGGTCGTTGTGTTTTGAGAAGTACTCTATTACGGCCCCCTTGTAGAGTTTGCTTTCTGTGCCCCACCTCCAGCTGTCTTCTTTAAGAATGTCCTCGAGAGTCTCCACAGGCTTCGATGTACCCTGGACTGTGAGATGTGCGATCAGAGATGATCGAAACCCGGTGGTGATAACGAGACTGAACAACAGCCACAACCCGATGAGCATCTGCATATACAACACAAAAGGTTAGCTTTCCTTAAAGCTGCTTAAAAAGGTCACCTATCTCAGGCTTATGCAAGACTTATTTTTTTGTATTTATCTATCCGGTAAAAGAACATACCCCTTATAAATTGCATAAAACTATAAGAGTTTCTTGAGAAGTTCTCTGCTTGATCAGAACTTAGTACATCATACCTACTAAAAAAATTAACCAGCAAGGGGCTTTCATCTATACTGTAACTGCTATATTATGACGATATCATGGATAATTTGATAAACAAATGGCTCATAAAATACTGTCTATTGGCAATTAACAGAGATAATAGGAGCTTTGAAGCTTGCGGAAATGACTATTTTTGGTGAGTGAGCAAAGCTAGTGCACTTGCTATATTAGACCTCAAGATATCACCCTAGAAGGTGACAAGGCCAATATTAACACATCTATATCAGAATAGGCTGCTTCTAGCTTCAAGAAAACTCCAAACTTGAGAGAATGGGTACATGCTAAAGAAGAACTCCTTACTGCCAGCGCCGTACACGGCGTATTTGAGTTAGATTCAGGTGGTAATTACTTTCCAAAACCTACATCAGGAATAGCTGGGGGATGGAGCTGAAGGAAGGCCGGTATTAAGTGTGTGCACTAGCTTCACTCACTCACCAAAAATAGGCTTTTCAGTAAGCTTCAAACCCCCTATTTTAGCGAGGTGAGCTTCACTAGTGCACTTGCTATATTCCACAGGAAGGAGGGTGCTGTGATGTAAGGGGAGCAGTGAGCACGCGAAGGACCATTTTAATTAATTATCCTTAGATTAAGCTATATTAATTTGTTTTTTCTAGTGTGCTGTCTGTGGGTCAAGGGGTGAGATCCATTGCCATGTGGGGTGCGTCTGACACCTGGTGAGACAGGTATTTTGCTATGAAACAGGAGGCCGATTTCCACTGACCCACCTTCCCGGACCTGGCCTCATGAAGGCCAGTGGAGCCGTTACGCCCCCGTACATCGTACGGACATGGGGCCTTCCAAGGGTCAGGGGTCAGCCTCCTCTATAACCTGCCGCAACCTGTCTGGCAATCCTCTGACTGACAGCGGGCATACCAACCGAGGATGAACAGAGATGATGTTGGCTGGTGGTGTGAATGGCCATAGCAGAGAAATATTGGTGGAGGATCCCGACCGGGCAGAGTCGGTGGTGCTTGCCCTTAGCCTTCCATTCCGGAACAGCTTCTGATTGGAGCCTGTCCTTCACCTGCTCATTTTTCTCCAGGAAGGTGGGAAAAGGTGCCAGGGACACTACAGAATCTCCTTGGGGAAGGAGGTCCAGTTGTCGAACCTCATGAGTGCCTTGAGCTGGGTGTACCTGGAGCTCATGCCCAGCACTACTAGGACGAGAGTCTTCTGTAGTAGGTGCTCCTTTGATGGTCGGATGGCAAATGGATCCTAGGGTGAGACAGATATCAGATTAATTTATGTCCTGGTAAATCCTTCATAGTAATAAGAACATAGGCAAAACAGACAACATGAGGCAGGTGTCCCTCAGGCTGGGTTGTCAGTATAGTTCACAGGACTGGAGGAGTAGTGCCGAGTCTGGGTGCGAGGACAGCCTTCTGCCCCTACACGACGTCCTTGGTCAGGGTGGTCTGGGCTACCTGAGAAGGCCTGCCATGGGAAAGAGGACTGGGTTAATTTCGGAGCCCACAGGAACTCCACCAACTCGTCTGGCTCCCAGTCATCCTGGAGGGATAAGACTTAAGGGGCCAGAGATGGGAAAGTGATGGGGGAGCTTTTCCTTCCAGCCGCCGCCATCCAGATCGACTGGAGGTCCAGGTTCAAATTCTCCCATGGAAAAAGGGCCAGGCCGGCAGCCCGGGCACACCTCCTACAGTCCTGTAACATTGCGAATAGGAAAGGACCTGCAGTGAACAGCACGGAACAGTAGGCCAGAGAGTCGAAGGCGTCCAGGGGACGTTCCAAACAGGGCTGGAACCATCTCCCTTCTCAACAGGCAGAGCTGCCGGAACTCAAAGTACTCCTAACCTTGTTGTCCGCCCTTCGTCGGACCTCTAGGTCGGAACCGGGGAGAGAAAATTAGGTCCTTCCACCACTTTACTCTTGATAAAATGGCCAGTCACCCCTGGTGCCAGTGCACAAACCAGTCCCGTGGGACCCGAGCCCACTTGTATGCTCCCTGGTTGATAATGTCATCAGGTGTCTTAAAAGAGAGGGGAGTGTCCGTAATTGCAGGGAAGTTTCCCTCTCCTGACTAAGGCCTGGGCCTTGTAAGTACTGGGGATGATGCTGAGACCAGTCCCTGGTCCGAGTCAGATTAGTCAGGCAGCCCCTGTGAGGACCCGGAATTCCTTGGCTCGTAACCCGACTCTTAGAACACTGAAGGGTCCGGGGAAGAGGAGCAAGGACGGGATCCCTGTACCATAAGAGGTTGGTTGGATGTGGCCTGCAGCTGCTGCGCCCGGAACCAGGAAGACAGAGACTCCAACATCTCCAGCGGCAGGGCTGGGGGGTGTGGGTGCACTACCCGGGGTGGCCAGCACCTCCAGCTACGATGGCCTAGACAGAGCGATGGAGGAGGTATAGAGTCCCTCCTCCCCGGCGGCTCCGTGGAAAGTCTCCTGGCCCAGGGAGATGGAGCCATAGGAGGTCGATAGGGGAGAGGGGTCCGTCCTAGCCAAGCACCTCGCCAGGGATGGTGAAGGTGGAGGTCCAGAGGGGACGAGGACCGCCTCTCCAGGGACACTCTGGGCACCTGGGGCAACCCAGCTGGGACCTCCGCTTCCTCCTAGCGAGCTCGCTTCCCCTTGGCCACTGTCTTAGGCGACCTGGGGAGGTGGTGCCTGTTGTAGAAGGACTAGTGGGACTCCCAGAGCAGTGACGGTTGCGACTGGAGGAGGAGTGACCATTCGATTCTCAGAAGGGAAAGGGGGATTGCTGTGGAGAGCCCGAAGTCCCAGGGCAGGGAAGAGGTGTGCTCCCCGGTGGCATACTGGGAAACCTGAGGAGGGAGGGCTCGTCCTAGGGTACTCGGTAGAGTGGTCTCTACCCAAGGGGCCTCAGTGGTGGCACATCCTAAACTGAGAACAGAGATTCTGGTCCCTCCAGGAGAGGGGGGTAGTCCCGGTGTCTGGCAGAACTGGAGGGTGCTTCCCAGCGGTGCCAAAGCTGTTACCAGCAAATGTGGGAGGTGTCCACATCTCCTTTGGCGTCACGGAGAAGCCCTGCCACCCTCAGAACACACCATACAGCAACTCTGGTCAAACTTGTCGTCGTCCACTCACTGGACATGGGCTGTGCAGGTGGAGTGACCATCCTGTTGGAATCAGGCCGAACACCTCGAGGCCGAGCAGGGTATCTTCTGAAGCCCCCGTTGAAAAAACAAACAGGAGAAATAAAACAATGGAGCAGGTAAAATGAGGGGACTACACACGTCTCTCTCTGCCACCAAAAACCGAGAAAGACAATGAAACCGAGTAATGACTCGGTGTGTGGGCCTGGACGAGAGAAAGCACAAACAGAGGGTGGAAAAGGAGGGCCGCCCAAGTGGGAAAAACCAAACAACGAAGCGTGTGAAGCACCACACAAGAAGCAAAAAAGGGGGAGCTAAAACACGTAAACAGGGAAAAGCGAAAAATCTGAAAATGGCGGAAACCAGGATGGCATTGGCATAAGTCAAAACAAACCAAACTATCAAAACAACACTCCTCCCTCCTAAATAACTAAGACCAGAAAACATCCTGGCAAACTGCTGACCAAAAAAACCCAGAAAGTATGAAGAACAACAGACACAGACCATAATGTGAAGAAGCCGAAGCAAGAGAAGAGTCTGGCAACGTCTACCTACAGCAGTGAGGCCAGGAAGAATGACCACCTAAATCAAACTCAGGTACACAGTGCACGGTGCAGGCAGTAAGGAGCTCTTCTGCACAGGTACACATTCTCTCAAGTTTACAGTTTTCTTGAAGCTAGTAGCAGCCTATACTAATATAGATGTGTTAATATTAGCCTTGTCACCTCCTAGGGTGATATCTTCAGGTCTAATATAGCAAGTGCACTAGCAAAGCTCTGCTCATTAAAAGATAATGGGACAGTGTTGAAAAAGATTTAGGAGTATTAATAGAGATGAAGGTATGAAGGTACAGTCAGCTAAAGATGCACTGACCCCACCCTGGGTCTCGTGCTCGCAAATTTACCTGGCAATACTTGGAAAAGCCAGGTTGTATATAAAGGTGATTGTGATTGGTGGATCTGTTTTCGGCTGTATCACTGTCAGGATAAATATTAAACAAACCAAAGGTAAAATTTTTATAATAATCTATTCATTGTTATTTAAGGTCATGAGAAGTTTCCAAATTTTCGTATATTTGCTTAAATTATGAAGAAAATTATATCAGTGAACTGGTAACTCAACTACAACCACAGCTGCCACAAGATTCTCACATCAAATTTTCTTCATTATTTAAACAAATATACAAACATTTGGAAACTTCTCATGAGCTTAAATAACAATGAATAGTTTATTATAAAAATTTTACCTTTGGTTTGTTTAATATTTATCCTGACAGTGATACAGCCGAAAACAGATCCACCAATCACAATCACCTTTATATACAACCTTGCTTTTCCAAGTATTGCCAGGTAAATTTGCGAGCACGAGACCCAGGGTGCATCTTTGGCTGACTGAACCATTGGTAAAAGGGTCTTTGGGTAACATTGGAAAAGATATGGTATGTCAGCATTGGGTGGTAAGAAAATTATGGATAAAATACGCATAAAACCTACCTGACCAGAGATATTAATAGAGGGGTCGGCTGGTGGCTGCTCCAGGAGGGCGCCCCAGCCGTAAAGGAGGGCGGTGTTGAACTTAACACCACTACCTCCTGCCACCCACCACCACGCCCTTTGCAGTACCCACATAATTACGCTCCACGCCACCACGCCTACTAGCAGCGCAATCCAGAGGTCTCCTGTATGAGAAAAGACGTAATATTACTTATACATGGAAAACGTAGTGCAATAATGAAGAAGAACAACAGAGAAACCAGAGTTGCTTAATGATATCAGCTTATGGTTAGGATCATCGCTTCCTCCATCTTCAAAGCAGAGCCAAAAAAGTAAAAGTTTTAAAGTTACGTGTATTGCATGTACAGTATATATTAATAAGAATATAACTAATTCAGTTATGTTAAATGCATATTCGGTGACTATCTCTATTTAGCATAATATATATATATATATATATATATATATATATATATATATATATATATATATATATATATATATATATATATATATATATATATATATATATATATATATATATATATATATATATATACATATTACACACAAATTGAAAGTTAGATATACCTGCAAATGGTCTCACGAGTGAGAGATATTGGGGTAACAACGTGGGCTTGAGAGATGTAACAATCATGATGTCAGAGGGATACCCCCTGGCGTACTCAACAGCCTTAAGACGCTCTGGGGTCGGCGCAGACTCAGTGCAAAAGTCGGTCTCCTCTCGTTGTAGTTGACCCATCATCCCACTGAAGATACCATTGTTCTCCAGCCCCCACGAGCGATTTGGCTCCTCGTGAATCTGAAAACTGGGTGTGAATTTTGGTTAAAATGTGGTTAAGAAGTTCACATAAATCTTTGTTCTGATCACAGCACGATATGAGCATTCACATATAGCTGTACAATAATATAAATGATTAACGAAAATATTCTGCTCGAAAAGGCCTACAAACTTTTCAGTAGCTCTGTTAAAGACTTCTGAAAAGAGTACGACAACGAAAGTCTTACGTGAAATTTAGAACTGAAGCGAAAGCTTCCAGCAGCCTGGCGTCAAGTGAGTCTTTGAGTGTGACTTCACTACCTGGCTTATCACTGTTTCGCTTATAGTCGATATAAGGGAAGTAAGATACTGCTACTATCTTAAACTTGTGTCCCATGAAGTTATGGAACTGATCTGTTGAGGAGAAAATTATCTCTATGATTATTTTTTCAATGAGTAAGTGATCAGTTTCTCTTAAAAGTCCAGTGAAATCTCATTGAACTTATTTTCTTAATATATACAATGTTTTTTGGATGATGTTTCTTACTGGATTTATTCTGAACATGAATTTGTTATGTGCCAGATTGGAATTCTCGGGGAAACTTTTTGGGCCCTAACATTGTTAATATTGCTCCTAAACTCTTGATTTTAATGACTGATATCACATTTTAATGACAAGAATTCATCTGAAACTGTTTTTGAAGGTTTAGTTTATGTGAAAATTGGATTAGACTAGATGCATGACGATGACGCTGGATGGCCACAGAGCGTTCACGGCAGTCTCAAGAAGAAGGTTATCACAATGCAATCCACAAAAAAGAATATCAAGGTTGGGATTAAACAGGATAATTGGCTTGCAACAATCCCGAAACCTGAACATCAAGGATATGCTGACGTATAAGCTGTCTCCAATCCATACTGACCTGCTTGATGAACATAGATTTATTGGGGTGCATTATGAGGATGCAGGCTAAATCTTCACTAAAGAAGACACTGCAGGTAGATGTATCAAGCAGACTCACAAGACCACCGGATACAGTAATCATTGATGGCTGTACACTTCTGTGGACTCTTCATTGGCTAGCGAGTAGTAGTGTGGTATATAGACTAGCTGAATAACTTTACCTCAAACATTGTATGTTATCTCACTACCAGTGATGTATAATTGATCTTCGACAGGTACTATCCAGATAATGCCAAGAATCCAATGAGATCACAAAGAGCTGGAGCCAGTCGAGAACACCATTAAACTTCTAGTACTCCACTGCCAGCGCAGAAAGTACTGTAATTGTTGGTGTGCTATACAACAAACGTCAGCTCATTGATCTAATAGTTGACCATCTTCTGAGCAATCGTGAATAACTTCCAGGTGCCAACAGACTGGTCATTACTAGAAAAGAGTCTGTTCCACTACAGCTACAGTCCAACATGGTCACCCCAAGAAATGACTTGAGAACCTTACAGGAAGAGGCAGACATCATTATTTTACAGAGCTTGGTGAAGTTTGCCTCTTGTGGTAATGCCAGTATGAAGGTCATTTGTGATGACTCAGATGTGTTCGTGTTGTTGGTCCACTTCTATAATAAACCACAGTTGTCCTGTAATGCCTCCATGGAAATTCAGGTCCGAGACAGAACTGTCATTGACATACAGGCCACGGCTCAACAACACAGTGATATTGCTAAACATATCTTAGTTGGTCATGCGCTGACAGGATGCGACACAGTCTCATATGAAATACGAAAAGCAACCATGGTGAAACTACTAAAAACGAACACCCATTGCAGTGAGCTAGACAGTAACATGGACGGAGTCATCACAGAGGCATCACAGTTCATTACAGCTTATTACATCTGTAAACCACAAGATAACATGTCGGGTACCCGATGTATAGTGTGGACAAATGAGAGGGCAAATGTGAAACCATCTCCTGCATCCTCTCTGAAGTCATTACCGCCAACGACAGAAGCCTTCAAAGAACATGTATACCGTGAACAATATCAAGCTGCTATATGGATGGCTGCCATATTTCCCAATCTACCAGACATTGACTCAGTTTACTATAGTTGGGTCCGTGGTGAGGACAATGTATTACGACCTGCTACGTTGCACGAGGAAGTCTCGCCATTTCCAGTTGGAGTCTTGCAGCTCGACAATGTTCTACAAGTAGGTGCAATGTGTTGGGGCCCAGATGTCTTGCGACATGTTCTGCATTTGCCATGCTGGTTCAGAATGCTCACATGTACTTACACGGAGTGTCAGTTCTAATGAGGAGGAGCATGAATGAAGTTCTTGAACTGCTGGAACTCTCTGTTTCTGTGTTACGGGAAATATCCATGTTTATTCCTTTTATATTTCTAGTCCTTGTTGACAATTTATCTTGATTAATGTGCTATAATCAGCTATCCAAAAGTACTTGCCAAAAAATTTGCAAATTTTCATGCATCTAACAATCTGACCTGCTGAGGGTGTTCACTTATATTGATATTTTATTTTCCTGTGGTCAGAAATAGCAGCTTGGTAAAATATAATCAGAATTACATCTTGCGCATAATTAGTGCACGTCCATTTTTTTTATTAGGCAATAACAAAATAGAACATCATGTATTGAGTCAGTATTCATTTGTGGATTTATATATTTGGAATTCATTTTTTTCAATAGTGAAGAAAGTTCTGTAAACTAAGAGTTAATGTGATTATGATATTTGGTATAAAGAAACGTGACTGATATTTTTAAAATATGAACTTTCACTTGGATATTATCAATATCAACAGCAGCTTATGAGAATCAGTTAAAAATGCAAGAAACTGACATCACTAGACCATCCGAGACAGTCATATGATTCCTTACCATTGGAAACGTGGTATTTGACACCAAAATCGAGTCGCTAAGTTTAATACAGGTATCAGCTTAGTTATAGTCAAATATAAGATTTTTAAAAATTTCGATCGCGGCCATTTTGGAATTCAAGATGAACGACTTGAACAAGCCCATTTGAGACGGCCTCATGTGATCACTTGTAGATGGGTGTATGGTATTAGACACCCAAATAAAGTCCCTAGGTGCAATATTAACAAAATTACAGTAATTTTAGATATTCCACAGCAAAGATGGTGGCCATTTTATTTTCACCAATACAAAATTTTTCCCAAGAGTGGCAATCCGGCACTCGACAGATTCTAGTTCAGAATAAGTCAAGTATGGGGAACTAGTACAAAACATTGTACATACTACAAAAATAGGATCTTTCATTAATGTCACCTCCTTAGAATTTCGAGTATAAACTGCTACAGGCATCTCTGAGAGAGATAACTGCATCAAAGGCCGTAATTTAATACACATAGACTTTATCATTAGTCAACTGAGTAATGTGTAGCATTGCCTACAGTATATATCATCTCAACATTGTTAATGAATTACCAATAAAGAATTATGTTTATCATAGGTGATACATGAACAAAATATATATCATTCACCTTGGAAGATGGAAGTTAGGTTCCATGGCTGTATAAGTTGGACGTCCGCCTCCCCGTTGTTACAGTACAGACACCGCCGGTACACCCACACACGCTCACTCACTGATGCTGCTAAGAGAGGCCAAGAGAGGCCAAGGGATATATATATATATATATATATATATATATATATATATATATATATATATATATATATATATATATATATATATATCATGTAAATCCACAATGAAAACGTGGATAAGATAAATCTTGATAAAATCACACGGGAAAATGAAACAACGGAGTACCTTAGCTTTCGTCTTTATTCAAGACATCTTCAGAGGCAACTGAAGAGTTGCCTCTGAAGATGTCTTGAATAAAGACGAAAGCTAAGGTACTCCGTTGTTTCCATTTTCCCGTGTGATTTTATCCAGATATATATATATGTATATATGTATGTATATATGTATATGTATATGTATATGTATATGTATATGTGTGTGAGTGATATTCTGAAATTATAGATCGAAAATTACTGATCTGACGAACAGGGAACCATAAATGGGGCAGTCATTAGCACTCATACGGCATGGCAGGTTTAGACAAAGCTTTCGCACAACGCTCCCCAGCAGCCAAGTGGAGGAGTCGGAAACTAACCAGCCACGCCACACAGGCATAAGAAAATTAAATGCGCTTTATCAAATTAATTCATACACTTTTGACGAAGTTAAAAGCCAGATATAATATCAACAAAAGTTATAGCAAAAGAACATAAGAAAATAAAGAGTCTGCAATAGGCCGGTTGGCCTGTGCATGGCAGCTCCTGTCGGGAGTTACTACCACTCTCTATCATCCATGAATCTATCTAGCCTCCTTTTGAAACTGTCCAGCGTCCCATCACTTACTACAAAGTTGCTAAGCTTGTTCCACTCGTCCACCACCCTATTTCTGAACCAGTTTCTTCCTATCTCCCTCCTAACCCTAAACTTATTCAACTTAAATCCGTTGCTACACGTCCTATCCTGCTCGGATATTATGAGAACTTTATCTATATTTCCTTTATTGATTCCTTTCACCCACTTATATACCTCTATCATATGTTCCCACACTCTTCGTCTTTCTAGGGAATGCAAGATTAGTTTATTTAATCTATCTTGATAGGGAAAGTTTCTAAGTCCCGGAATAATTTTCGTCATTCTACCTTTGCACCAAAACTGAACAGCACAATCGAAATGCTGCATGACTAGCGCAAGATATAATTGCAATTTGAACTCTAGACTCTTATTACTTATACTTATAAAACCTTATTTTGAACATTAATGCACTGTTTTCTAGGCCGAAGGTCCGGGCTTATGAGTACCCTTAAGTCTCTTTCACAAGTCGACTTATCTGGATTGATGTTGTTAAGGCTGTATACTGTACATTGACATTATTTGTTCTTCCAATAAGTACGCTGCACTTGCTGGTGTTGAATTTCATTTGACATTTTCCTGACCACTCCTGCAGTTCATTTAAATCCTCCTGTAGTGCATTTGCATCCTGCCCTGAATTAATCTGCCGCCCTATTTTGGTGTCATCCACAAACTTGCATATGCCACTGCTGATCCCAGTATCTAGATTGTTGATGTAGATTATGAACAAGAGTGGGCCCAGTACTGACCCCTAGGGAACCCCAATAGTTACACAGCCCCTCTCAGATTTACATAAGAACATAAGAACATAAGAATGGAGGAAACTGCAGCGGGCCTATTGGTCCATACTGGGCAGTCCCATTTACACCCAACCCCTATTGCTCATATAAGCATCCAACCTATGTTTGAAGCTATCCAGCGTATTCGAGTTAATGATGATATTTGGTAACTTGTTCCATTCATCCACTACTCTCTTTCCAAACCAGTGTTTACCTATTTCGCACCTAAATCTAAATTTGTCTAATTTAAAACCATTGTTACGAGTTCGCTCTTGGTTGGATAGTTTGAGTACCTTTGCAATGTCCCCTTTGTTTAGCCCTGACTTCCATTTATACACCACTATCATGTCGCCCCTCGCTCTACGTCTCTCGAGGGAGTGCAAATTAAGACACTTTAGCCTGTTTCTGTACTCAAGGTTCCTAATGCCCGGGATTAGTCTTGTCATTCTCCTCTGGATTCTTTCCAAGGATTCTATATCCATTCTGTAATACTGTGACCAGAACTGAACTGCGTAATCCAGGTGAGGTCTCACAACCATCTACGCTGACCCTCTGTGTTCTATGGGTGAGCCATGATTTTATCCAATTTAAGACTTTGTAAAAATATATGTTGAGAGTAGTAGATTAATTTGTTCTTCACTAATTGCTATCGGATGCTATTTGCTATAATTGATTTAAGAAATTCCCCACTACTGACGTCAAACGTTTTCCATTTCAGGAAATAATTAAAATACTAAAGTGAATGGCATGTTGCGGTCTCGAATTAATAACATAATTACCGGAAAGCCATAGAAGACGTTCATGTCCGGAATTAAAAACGTAAATTAGTAAATATTCAAATATTGCTAATCTTTTCCTAAAATGAAAATAAAGGACAATCAAGGGATATCTTAAGGTTTTAGAATTAAGTAGACCCTTACAGCGATAGGCATGCTTGGAGGCGGGCACAACTCATGAATCACTCTTAGCTTTTCACTTGTGGCAAGCAGACAGGTCGCGACTTGCTCGTCGACAGAACATCACACGTGGCCTCAAAATATTTTAGGCGTTTTCAACCGTGTTCACAAGTAAGTCCAGTTCGATTGCATACATTGTTTAGATAGGGCGGGAAAGAATTTAGCAGTAGTTAATAAGATATCATTTACAGGAGTTGAGGTCTCACTTGACTTAATGGCTGTTAGTGTAGTGCTGTGAGCGGCAGGCGGCTGGTTGTAGGACCCACATGGGTGACCTGGTTTTCACCAGGATCTTCTGAGATAGAGAGATGTATGCCACACACGCATGTAGGAGCCCCGCTGAGACTGTCACCAAGTTGTCACTACACGACACCACAGCCAAGGAAAATTTCTTAGAAGGAGGGAAAACTAGATCTCTCTTCTAGCTGGGTAAGGTACACCTGGTTGTACGGTGACTTGACCTAACTGGGCAGGATTAACTCTGTCGCTCTCCCCCTCCTATAAAGTAACTGGGAGAGAAGCTTGCCCTGGGTGCAGGATGAGTGGAGTGAAAGGTTAAGCTCTGGGAGACAGAAATTCCCATGGTGCTAGTGAGTACTGTATGCCCACCGAGTATCGGTGGTGATTCTTCTATTAGGTACCTTCACCTCTCTTCAACTATGGGTGTATGTGGTTTGTCTAACCAAGTCCTGGTGTGAGGTCAACGACCCTGATGGTTGATCTTACACCCTGAACGTGTGGGAGTGCTTTTTACAGGATTATTTCGTACTATGTATGTAGTACAACTTAACGGTCATGGTGTATTATGGGCCAGTGTTGTTGAGCACGGTTACAGGTATGGTGGAGAACAGCACACATGACTCATGAACCCAGAAGTAAAGTAATAAGAATACGCGGAAGAGCCGCCCCCTGACGAGTCATGAGTGAGTTTCTCGGTTCACAGATAATTTGGGTTTCATGTACTGTATGCTGATTTGGGCTCTGGCGATATCATGCCAGTATTACTGACGCATGTTCTTGTCCAGGTTATTAGTTGCAATCTTTGGTCTTTGTGCACTATAGCAAATTAAGAACTAATATTTTCTAGGGGTTAATATTATTTTGCAGGGTTTTCCAGACCACTATGCTATCTCAACAACTCCTCAGCTAGTGACCTCACATTGGGACCAGGTTCATATTTTCCTCTGCTGATGATAGGAGTGTCTAGCGATGAAAGATATGTTGAGGGATTAATCCAAATGAATTGTTGTCTCTTGTGCAATTAATAATTTTTTTAGTGCTGTAAGGTTGGTGCTGTTGGTTAATACAAGTGTCATATCATTACCAGTGCGTCTCTTTAACCCCAATCTCAGGACCACCAGTCCAGGTCACGGTAAATACTTTATTAATTTTGTTTGTGCTGATTCAGTATTCTGAGGGGCCCTTCCACTGCATTATCATCCATTTAAATAAACCCCAAAAGAAATTCCGAATGGTTACATATATATTTTATTACTTTCCCGACTTGGAAACAGGGAGGTCCTAGCTAGTGCGTATATCCTGATTTTCACTATTCAGCAGCTATGTCGTTTACCGAACCCTCTTGGCAAGATGCAAGTCCACCGAAGGGTTGTCCATCGTCGGTACACATTATTGTTATTATTATATGACCCAGTGTGTTAAGATAAGTGTTTAACAGGAAAGCCGATTCCTTTCTCCACTACTCTGATGTTCAGATATTTGTAAAGTAAGACTAATTAAATTCGTTCCGTGTTCCACAGATTGGCATAACACATATACGCTAGAAGAGGAGAGGTGAGGACTGTATCGTGGTGCAGCGTAGCCCACCAAGCCCAGACAAAGATATTTTCCATTATCTAGTGTGAAGTGACAGTGGGATGTGTTGTCCTGTCATAAGAAGCGTTGTGATCTCTTGTAAAACGATATATTTGTATTTATTCGTTCATAATGTTCTCAGTTGAAGGAATACATAAAATATGGTTCTTAGAATTCTTCCTGAGAATATCATTTCATTCGTCAAATTTATCCCGACAACGTTTATTTAATGATATAATGTAAGTCCATATCTACTTTCAGTGTATTTTCAGTAGTAGTAGTAGTAGTGGAATGGGATAAACCGACCTTCCTGTATGATTCCTTTCCTCAGGCGGGAGTTGCCCTCGAATGGTCTTTTCAAAGGAGACAGGTCGTAGGGGGCTAGGTAGAGGGCGTTGGCTGTGTTGCGAAGACTATGGTGGAGAAGAACGGCCTCCACCCTGGCACTCTCCCCCACCACCACCACGGTTGTCTCGGACTGCTTCCATAACCCAGACGTCTCCAACAACCTACGAAAAAGATGACGAATTTCTTTCTCTTCCATAATGATATTAGTAATTTTAACTACATTTTTCAGATCCGAGAGTGGCAATCTTCATTCACACTTTAACTGAGTGAGAACAAATGCCTGCGAACAGCGTTGCTAGGCGTACGAT